ATGCGTTTTTGCCGTGTTGCACAATCTTGCTCACCCTGGTATCCGCAACATGCATCGCCTCGTAAGCGAGCACTTCGTCCGGCGAAACATGAATACTGATATCCGCCTGTGGGCCCGTTCATGTTTGGCCTGTCAGAAGACCAAAGTCGGACAGCACAACATAGCCCCATTGGCACTTTTTTTGCACTCGATGCACGTTTTGCACATGTTCATATCGATCTGGTAGGTTCTTTGTCACCATCTCGTGGTTGCACCTATTTACTTGACCGATTTACTCGATGGCCCATTGCGACTCCCATACTTAATATAACTGCAGATTCGGTTGCTCATGCCTTTTTGGAGCACTGAATCTCCTATTATGGCGTCCCCTCAACCATTACCATCGACCAAGACCAACAGTTTGAGTCTAGGCTTTTTAACAGCCTTATCGATTTCCTCGGATATTCTCGTATACGCACAACAGCATACCACCCCTCATCCTATGGTTTAATCAAGCGTTTCCATCGTCAACTCAAAATGTCGGCCCTTAAGTCTTGCTGATGCGGAAGTGGGTGGTGGCACATGGACCATGCGACACCACATGCCTTACTTGAGCCATTGTTAATATCGTCGTGGTTAGGCATTAAACGGGAGTGGCACAATCGATGACTTTCGTCAAACGCTAGTCCTTGCGGTATGCTGAGAGATATAAAAAGCGATCAGTGTAGTGTGATTCGTCATATTGCAGGCCTTGTCGACGCTGTATTAGGGTTGTACCTTCTGCAGATTGTGTGTGGCGTGCATAGGCCTTATGCACAGGTGCTCGATCACCCTTGGGGCGATTGTAAGTAGAAACGGGGCTTCAAGAGTATGACTAATACAACAACAATACATCGGCCTTCTCGTCCAAGAAATCGCTTAGATCGTAGAACATGGGATCTCTACCAAGGCACAGTGTTGATGACGCCAATTTTAACTATTTGAAATGCAATTGTGGTAGGTGTCACATAATGATGGCAACCATATTCCTAGATGAATTTACTTCGGCTACATAACCCAGGTGCTGTAATATATTGCTGCAATTCCTCATTTCGCACGCAAGTTTCATCAAGAATATCGGATCCATAGATCTTAAAAGTGGCTCATCAAACAAATTATCTATGTGAGCCCTGGCAATTGAGTGTGTTGCTCGAACCGTCATCTGAGGATCTTAAGGGCCTTCAAGTACCCCTCACCAGGCTCTAGAATGGCATAGCTTTCAATAGCTTCGCTGGCCTCACCACGGCATTAATGAACCAGGCATGACAATTGGCTTTCATCGTCACCCACCTTAGTGCTAATGCCAATATCAAAGCTTCTTAGGAGAAGCCAGTATTTGGAAGGGTTTGCACCAAAATGCAGCATTTCGCATTGGGGTAGGGCGAAACGCGGAAGCATGGGGCGTCAATACTCACCGACAATTCCCTGTTTTCGCGCAGGTGGAGAAGTTTTCTTAGTGATTGTTAACTACCTCAATTGCCTTTCGAGGCTACGGATTTTTTCCCTGTAATTTTTAGGGGCCACATCTTTGTCGTCTAAATGCGAGCAGAAATTGCACGAGCATCTTTGGTGGTCTACCATTTCGTAAGTTGAACTATTGTTTAATTGAAGAGGATCGTGTCCTTTATAACCAGATGCGTAAGTCCGGTTTGGTTCTACTAACTTGCGTGGTCTTAACTTCGTATATGTGTAACTGAATCAGCAACTGTAATGAGAGGATTTGTATGGTTCTATAGTCTGAGGGCATTAGAAAAGCATAAATATCACGGTTACAAATAGTATGCGAGCTTAGAAACAATGAGAGAAAGTCAGTTTGCGTCGGAACAAGATGGAGAATTCCAACACATACAAAGGAAGTAAGGGAAAAAAAGGCGAACTGACCCAAAAATGGGGACAATCAAGTATAGGACAAGCAGTATGGTGTTGACGAATATAGAAAATGTCATATAAATGGCTGTAACGTTTATGACAAATGTATGAACGGC